TAAGGTGAGATTTCAAGATTTTCTCTTTGCTGCCGTGGATGTGTAGAGAAGAGTAGGGAAAACTTTTCTAGAGGTAAGGATTTTGCTTGAAATGGTTTGAGAACATGGAATCTAAGAATCTAAGGTTAGATTTTTGGTTATTTAACCTTGGTTTCTAGCAATTTTGATATAGAGAATTTTGTTGGAGAAGTTGAGAAAATCCTAAAACCATGATTAAGATTTATGGTGTTTTTGAAAGAGAAAGGATATGGTTGGTGTTTGATGGTGGAAACAACAGATAAAACGAGGTAAGGTTGGCTCGGGAAAATGCAGAAATAGGCGGAACTCTGCCGAAATTTAGTTTGCGTAATTTGAACTAAAACTGGATTTCAAGAGGAATAAGGGATTAAAGTGTGAAAAGAAAGGTGTTTCGATAATCGGTGATGCTTAAAAATCGAACACAATGAGAATTCACAGTTTTTGACTGAAATTGAAAATTAGGCCCATGACTGAGTAATTTGCACGGTTTTAGTGCAAATCCTTGAGATAGGAAATAGTTTGAGGTTGAATACCAAACATAAGGATTGTAGACCTTTCCGACGTAAATTTCAATGTAATTATTGATCTTAGATTTTGAATCTAACGATCAAAAAATTTATGCAATAGGATCGATTAACGGTTGAAGTCAGAAAGCGTCAAGTGAGACAAGGGACACATTGATAACGAAACTTTGGTACGTACAATAGTTTTTCTGTGGCTATATCACAAACAAGCTTACTTTTCTATATTAGACAAAGATTGTGCATATAGTAGAATTTTGAATGTTAGATACAATGTGAATGTTAGATACTATGTTAGGTAAGTATCTACAAGACTTACGTAATCGTAGAGCTTTATTCTGCAAAAAGTATGTATCGATGTTAAGTCGAGATCAAACTAAGAGAAATGAAATGTTAAACTTTAAAGAAAAGTTAATCTCATGATAAAATGCTCAATAATGCACAAATTCATAAGATTTAACAAAAAGTTACCATTTCAATAAGAAAATTGATAAACGGTAAGAGACTAAATGTCCTGTTTGTACCAGCCTTCGAAGGAAAGGTTATTATAAGACTATGAAAAATATGAAATCGTGACTGAGTTGGATTGGTTAGCTACCCCACTCCTCACTGGTTATGCGCGCTATGGTACAACAGGACATGGCCCATAAGAAGTAAAAGACAAGAAAATAAAAAACAGAAACCATACCATATAAAGGTACGGTATCTGTAAAGAAGAATGAAAAGAATGAGAAACACGAAATGAAAGTCGTTCAAAACGTGAAAATACGATGTGAACGACTAAAATGAGACGAAAGCAGAACAAAGAATGTAATGAAAGAAGAACATAAGCCATACATGTTTTAGTAGTACATAATGTATTATAATATATGACATGAATATATATGGGTATGCATAATTATTGCATCTGTTATGACCTATTGATACTTGCTGAGCGAAAGCTCATTAAGTTTGTTCGTGTTGTAGGAAGCTCGGGTAAGGCACTGGCTCCCTGAAACTTGTTGTTTGACATGCAGAGAGGATGCAGCAGTGGAGTGTGGGCAAGTGGGTTGTGGATGCATCACGTGTTTTGGAAATGCTGCTGAACATTATGTGTAAAATAAAATAGTGTTTTATGTATTTTGATGACTAATGTAACAGAATGCCGTCAGAATGCTACAACATTTTAGGTATGACTAATATAATAGAATGTTGTCAGAATGCTACAGCATTTTGAGAATGACTAATGTACAGAATGCTGTTAGAATGCTACAACATTTTTTGAATAGTTAAAAACAGAAGGCTAGCTAAATGCTACAACATTTAGACGTACATGGTAAGAATGAAAAAAATTGGCTTGAATTTTTAAGAGGTTATAACTAGTAAGTAGTAAAGGTTAAGTATGAACTTAGGATGATGATCAAAGTTAGGGTCGTCACAGGGGTGATCCCCGCAGTGATTTGACATAGTCTTTATAATTAGGTTGGCCTTTTGATCGTAGATATTGGGATCTCCAGTCAGCTAGGTTGGGTTTACCTTCGTATTGACTTCATTTTTTCATGGGCTTAAGTGCCAATCCTCTCGATGTTGTTTCAACTTGATCTCTATTTAACCCTTTTGTCAGTGAATCCGCAATGTTTTCCTTTGACTTCACATAGTCAAGAGATATAACTCCAGTTGAGATCAGTTGCCTAATGGTATTATGTCTACAGCGTATGTGTCTTGACTTATCGTTATACATCACATTTTGTGCTTTACCAATCGTAGTTTGGTTATCGCAGTATATACATATTGTTGGCACAGGTTTTTGCCATTCTTGAATATCCTCTAAAAAATTCCATAGCCATTCAGCCTATTCGCCGCACTTATCCAAGGCTACAAATTCAGATTCCATTATGGGTCTGGTTGTTAACGTTTGCTTGGAGGACTTCCAAGAAATAGCTACATCTCCTAAAGTGAAAACATATCCACTAGTCACTTTGTAGTCTTGTATGTCAGATATCCAACTCGCATCAGTATATCCTTTAAGAACAACATGATATCTCGTATAATGCAGCCTATAATCACGAGTATAACGTATGTACCTAAGTACTTTGACTATCGCTTTCCAGTGTTCAGTTCCTGGATTACTTGTGTATCTGCTCAAACAACTAATAGTGTGGGCAATATTTGATCTTATACAACCCATTAAGTACATTAAACTGCCTATCACTCTAGCATACTCCACCCGTGAGACACTTTCTCCCTTATTCTTGGACATATGTTGACTTGTATCAATTGGAGTTCTAGAGACGCCAGAATCATCTTTATTGAATTTATCGAGCATCTTGTCCTCATAGTGCGACTAACTAAGAATGAGCCCATATGATGTTCTCATAATTTTCATCCCTAAAATCACATCAGCAAGTCCCATATCTTTCATGTCGAATCTTGAGTTCAACATATATTTGATAGATTTAACCATCCGAGCATTGCTACCACCATTGAGTATGTCATCCACATACAGACAGAGAATAATATATCCAACTTCTGTCAAATTTCGCAATCATTGATTCTAAAACCATTTGAAACCATGACATTGTCAAATTTCTCGTGCCACTGTTTAGGTGATTGCTTTAGCCCGTACAAGGACTTCACCAATTTATAGACCTTCTTTTCTTGTCATGTGGCTATACAACCCTTGGGTTGTTCCATGTAAATTTCTTCTTCAAGATCTCCATTAAGAAAAGCAATCTTGATGTCCATCCGGTGGACCTCCAAATTCCGTAGTGCAACAATGGCCAGAATCGTTCTTATAGAATTTATTCTCATCACAGGAGAATAACTTTCAAAGTAATCAAGGCCTTCTTGTTGTTTGTAACCTTTAATTACAAGCCTGGCCTTGTACTTGTCAATCGTTCCACATGTCTTCATTTTCCGTTTGAAGATCCACTTAGAACCCAGAGGCTAACATCCCAAAGGGAGGTCTACTAGTTCGCAAGTGTGATTCTACATGATGGAGTCAATCTCGCTCTTTATAGCCTCTTTCCACAAAGGACCCTCAGTAGAGCTAACAACTTCTTTATAAGTTTGAGGTTCAGCTTCAAGCATATAGGTTAGAAAATTTGGTCCAAAAATATTTTTTGTCCTTGTCTTTTTACTTTGTCTAGGCTCTACTTCCACCTCCTTAATATCGATGCCTTGGTCCTGACTATTCTCATTAATAGTCTCAAAATTTTGTTATGACGCACTCGGTTCATCCCTTTTGGACCTGCAAGGAAATACATTCTCAAAGAATGATGCATTCCTTGACTCTATTATTGTGTTCTTGTGAATGTCAGGGTTTTTAGACTCGTACACAAGGAACCTATATGCACTACTATTGTGTGCATAGCCAATAAAGATGCAATCAACTATTTTTAGACCTATTTTTATCTTCTTTGGCAACAATGCCATCACTTTGACTACAACAAAATTGTCTTTTAATAACGGTTAATTATAGCGTTTTTAAAAAAATGTTACCTCAGTTTAATATAATAGCGTTTATAAACAGTTATAATATGTATATATATAGGAATTGTCTCTAGCCAGGCACTTGGAAAGTGCCTCATCAGTCATGCACTTGTATAATCGTGTATAAATTGTGTATATTTATACGTAAATTATGTATATTTACATGTAAAGTCGTGTATATTTAACATGCAATACAATAAATCAGTCAATATACATATTTTCATATTATGTGTTCACTAATTACTATAAAAAAAAACATGTTTTGAGGATTAATATATATTGTCGTTTCTTATAATTTAACATACATGATTTATATGTAAATATACACGATTTACATGTAAATATACACGATTGCACAATTATACAAGTGACATGTAAATATACACAATTTACCTATAAATATACATAACTTACTGTAAATATACACATTTTATATAAAAATGTACAAGTGTCGTTCCGGTCAGGTATTTTTTAAGTGTCTGACCAGAGACCTTGCCTATATATATTAAAATTCATAAAATTTTGACTAATTTATTATATATATATATTTAAATATATACTAATGTACACGTTAGAATGGCATTGGGCGGGTAGTGAAAAAATTTTCCTGAAAATCTCAAAATTCCCGCTCCTCCCTCTTTTTTTGGTCTGATTTAGAGGATGTTTGGTAGAGGGATTCGTTCCCTGATTCGAATCATGATTCGTGATTCACTACAATATTTTTTCTCACAAAAAATTCACATAAATAAAAAATAATTCAAATCACATAATTTAAATCCTCCAACCAAATGTCCTCTTAGCTTTCCCCTCTTCCCATCTTCCACCACTCTGCCGAATCCCATACGAATTGAACATAAGAAAAAAAAAACCTCATTCGTCTCTTCCTCCAATCTGTCGAATCCCATTCGAACAAGGAAAAAAAAAACATTGACGCATCATGTAATTAAAAAACAAACATTCACGTTATGCGTGTTTAGAGAGAGAACGAGAGAAATAACAGTAGAGAGAAAAAGGGGGTCGAGGCCGGCGGGCCGACGCGTTGCCGGTTTGCTTGCCGCCGTTCGTTGTCGGAGGGCCGTCGCCGGCCGATCTTCACGAATCCGGGGTTTGTGCCCCCAGGGGAGGGGGTTTTGGCTGGGACCGGAGATCGTGAGAGTTGCTGCGATGGAGGACATCATCGTGGTCGACTTATGTCCGGATCTTAAGAGGGAAGAGCTGCCGTCATGCGAGGCGGATGTGGGATGCTCAGAACTCCCCCGGGAACGAAATGGGTTGGCAAGGGGCGGGATTGTTTCCTTGGGCGTCAGAGTCTTTGCAAATATTTTGGTGAGTGTTTCTACTATTGCGTGATTTTCTTTGGCTTTTGATTTGCAATTTGTTTGCACATTGTGTCTTTGCACAAAATTTGGCGAGTTTCTTCATTATGGTTTTGTATTTCAAACTTTTCTCAGAAATTTCTTCCGTTATTGGGCATCGACATTGTTTAGGCATTGCTCCTTTCGTCATTTTGGTGTGGTAGTCGTTCTTTAACTGGGCGAGTTATAATATGAAATTCCTACAAATTTTCCTTAATTTCTTTCAGCATTTGATCTGACATTTCTTCTTGTTATCTCCGCCTGTTCTACTTCCACTGATGTTTTTCGTGAGATTAAAGAAATTAGCGTTTCGTTGTACATCACAAAGCTATTTTATGCCTTGAATTTCTGGGCTTCTTGAGCCATGAACCGTAGTTAGATTCCTGCGCTTCTTTGTGTTTCCACGTCTCGGGAGAAAAAACCTGCAGATGTGGTATGATTTTCGAAAAGCAACCAGAATTGCAAGTGGTCGAAGAATGTTGTTCCCTCGCTTCAAAAATTAACAATGCCGATAAATTGGTTTCACTTTATTACCTCCCAGACTGTTTGAAGCACCGGCTGAGTCAGTTACTCTGCGATTCTCAAAGAATGAATGCTCATGTTTTTAAGCTTCTGCTTCAAGGGTCCCCAACAGAGGTTTGCGTGAAGGATTGTTCTTGGCTAACAGAGGAAGAGTTCACAAAATGTTTGCAGAACTTTGATCCGAGCAACTTAATGGTATGCTCTTTCATTGATTGATGATGCTTGCCCTTGTTTAAAACTACTAATATTTTTATAAAACTAAAAATTACCAATTCTTTTGGTGACATGACAGCTCTATTATTCTCCATAGCATTACCATATCATATCATATCATTAATCCTGTTTTTTTAGTGTTGTTTTGGTCGAATCTTTTTTTATTTGGAAGAAGTAAATCTATCGCTTCTAGTTTGGAAGGCATGTACTATTGAAGAAGTAAATAATTGGGTGGTAGCATATCTTCAAAGGCGGTAAGAGCAGCTTCATTCACCTGCAATAAATTAAATTATCACAAGCCTCCATTCGACCAATAATATCATTCAAATCAACACCTGCATCTAAAGGCTTATTCCTTGCCAGGGCTTTCAAGATTAGACCACGTTCCTTGGGAGTTGGCAAAGGCACGTATAGAAGCTTTCCAAACCTACCAGGTCGCAAACGAGCTTTCTCCATCACCTCAGGTCTGCAGCAAAAACAAATGGATTGTCACATGCTTGCATAGGTATATCATTAAAAACGGAGAGGATAGTGAGTAGTTTTACCTGTTTCTGGCACCAATTACGAATACACCATCTAAATTCTCGTTGGCGTCAACTTCTAGCTAGTTGTTGTTCTTTCTAAACATAATGTCGTTTAATAAGGTTATTATTGTTTTCTACTAGTGTCGTTCACTAAGATATTGACTTGTTCACTTTATCATCAGTACGTGTATCTTCGGGTTTAATTTAATTTTTAGTCCCTGAATTTAGGAGCAAATCTCATTTTGATCATCTATGACATTCAAAGTGTTACATAACCAGTTGATTGTCTATTAAAATTGAATGAAAATGACATGGGACATGCAACAAAATCAATGGTTCTTACAGTTCCTAAATTCTTTTAACCAAGCAGGTTCTTTGTTTGAAATATGCAAAATGGTATGGATGATATATTCTAATTAGTAACTAGCTTTGCATAACATTTCAGGGAAAACAAAAAGAAAAAAAAGAGAAAGAGAAAGAAAAATAGGTTGTTGACAACATTGGGTTTGATCCTGAGAGAGTGTATCTTGATCTACACTTAGAAAGCTGAAGGATGAGATTGCAAAGGTAAGAATGTGGTTATATAAGATGCTTCTAATGTTTCTATTTGGAGAGTGTATGAATGAAAATGCCCTTTCTTTTGTGGTTGGTATTGTTAATTTATTGGAAATTGGGATGTGGAGTTTTGTCTTTCTTATTGGTCAATGTTATTCAATCACTAAAAATATTGTATGTCTTTCATAGAATTTGAAGATAGCTTGGAAATTTGGGAGAAAGCCAAACTCAAACAAGATTTAAAGTACTACTCTTTGCTCATGTATTTTTGGATTCTTTTTGTTAATTGGGTCCCTTGCTAAATCCTTTGTTGTGATAATGAAGTTCTTGCTTTGATTAATGAAATTCTTTGTAGCTTTAACTTGTGAATGGTTTATTTAGTGACAAGTGCTAACACTTGTTTATTTTGCCACACATGTTTAAATTAGTGTCGCGGTGCTTTGTCTTATTTGTTGTTTTTGGTGTAGCCGTGAAGAATCTATAATCTTTAGTGTAGTTTCTTAAAGATTTTGATGTAGCTTCTCAAAGGTTAGTATTCCTACTTTGGACATTAGAATTTTAATTGTGTTGTTACTTGGCAATGAAGATGAAATATGAGTTAACTCGTAGGCACTTGTTGTTAATGTCTTGGGAAACTCAAGTGCTCTTGCTCACAAGTTTCTACCTTTATAGTAAAAGTTGTTATGCTGTTTAGTTGTATGATGTTTATCAATGGAAGCTTTGATTATAAAGTTGCAAACACTACCTTTGATTACTTTGTATTATTGCAAAAGGTCTCTAACTTTAACCTTTTTTCCTATGATTACTTTGTACGATCTCTCGATCTACATAACAATATATGTAAGATACTCTGTTTTATAAGTTTGATATTAAATTTTTGCCTAGTGCATCATTGAAGCCATGTTTTCTCTAATTCACTGCAAAACATATGTGGATGTGGCTATATAGTTGTGAATGGTGTAACTAGTCCTTGCTTTATTTACAGGTTAAATGGTGAAAGTTTTAGTTGAGTTTGATTATTGTTTTGATAGTGGATCACTTTCTTAGAGGTTAAATGGTGGAGATGACTTTTTTGTTGAAGTATTTTGTTAAGATGGAAGGATTTACTTCACCATTGCACTTAGACGTTTTGGAGATGACTTCTCTGTTTTCTTTACTTGTTTTGAATGTTAAGGTTTTGGACATTGTATGAATTATGTTGTAGACGTAATTTTATTGTCAGCTTGGTAGATACTGATAACAATTGATATGTTGAATGTTTTTATGTTTTAATTTGAATGTTCCTATTTAGATATATCACATATTTCAGAATTACTATTTATTTGCATGAATTGAAAAGGATATCAATAATAATTTTAAAAAATTACAAAAGTATGAACATAACAAGGAAAAAAAGTTATTAATCTGTATCGTAGCTATGCTAAAGAGCTGTAATAGGATGAAAATAGCTTGTCTTAAACGCTATAATATTTCAATTCTATAGCACTTTTTATAACTCTCTTGAAACGTTATGTTTTCTTAGGACCTATAATAGCATCCGCAGTCTTAGCACTCTAAAAAGCGCTATTGTTAGTGATTAATAGCGTTTTTGGACTGCTACTGATGTTGATATTTGTTGTAGTGCACCCCCACACTCTCAAGTATTTGTAGGAAGGTTTCCTATCTTTCCAAAACTCATATGGTGTCTTTTGTTCTTTCTTGCGGAGAACCTTATTTAAAAGGTAATTAGCTGACAAAATAGCTTGCCCCTACATGTTCTATGGCAACCTATAACTTATCAACATTGCATTCATCATATACTTTAGAGCAAAATTTTGCTGTTTGATTGAGGAGAATAAGGTGGCATGACGTCGTGAATAATTCCATGTTCTTTACAAAATTCTCAAAATGGATCTCCATATTCACCACCACGGTCACTTCTTACAATTTTAAACTTTTTGTCAAGTTGGTTTTTAACTTCTTGCTTATAGAAAGTAAATTTCTCTACAGCTTCATCTTTGCTTTTCAGTTAATACACGTAACAATATTTTGTACTATCATCAATGAAAGTAGTAAAATACTTATTGCCTCCTTTAGTTTAAACAAACTTCAAATCACATATATCATTGTGAATTAAATCAAGGGTCCTTGTATTCCTTTCAATTGTTTAAAATGATGACCTTGTTAGTTTTGTCTCTACACAATTTTCGTACCTATGTTTTCTATCAATATGAAATGAGGGTATATGATCCATGTTAATTAATCTACGCAAAGAATGTCACACCCCCCCTCAAACGGGGTGGGTGACGTGAAGCTCGATTAGGGCTTAATAAAGCAGATTTCCAGACGAGCCTCACTTAACTCCATTAAAATATAAATAAATTACAAAGTTCTGAGCCTTTGACAACACAAGGCTCCACCCCACAGGACATACAATATCGTACATACATGCACATGTAAATAATCATTACAATAGACATCAATCACAGTCTGGTAAATCCAAATATTATATGAGTTTACCGAATTCTCAAATTCCTTACATTTGTTCAAGAGGATGAACACAATCCTCTCTTGATCCAACAGTAGCAATCTCCAGTTACCCCGCACCGCTCCTAGAATCTCTTGAGAGGGGTTTAACACATTTGAAACATAAAACGTGAGCGAAAGGCCCAGTAGGATATACTTTGAAATGACTTACAAGAAATGAATAAATAAATGGGCGAGTAAATGAATAAATGAAACAGTAAATAAAATAAGACATTCAGTTTCGACAAACAGTCAGATTCTAACATCATTTTTCTCAAAGGAAAGACATGAAAATATCCATTTACAGGCATCAGTAAGTAATTAGTACAAATTACTCACCTACTAAGTGCCTCGCCTACCTGGATCGAGTTTCGGGTTCTGCCCCCAAGGATGCACTCTCCGCATCCTATCTAGGCTTACAGCGATATATTCTTATCAGTTCACAAGATCTCTAATCTGAAGAAATAATTCATTTAATATTATGAAATCGTTAATATGACCCCACGAACTACTAGAGCCGCGGGCCCCATGACTTGGCAAGCCATGAGGTTCCATGACTAAACAAGCTATGGATTCCATGGACATGACAAGTCATGGATTCCATGAACTAAACAAGCCATGGTTTTTAAAGAGTTTTTCTTTCGCAACCCAACTCCTTTTTTTAAAACATTTTTAAGGCCGAAATCATTTTTGAAAACAGGCTCACAAAGAAAAGGGATAGAAATCCTATCTCGCACTATCAAACCTAGGACTAGCGTTGCCTTTTCTGGCTTCTGCTTCCTCAAGCCTCTTCAGTCTGAATCCTTAGCGATTACTGATGCAAGATAACACTTTAGGATTAATTCTCATTTCTAAAGCAATCCAATCTCAATTATGTACCAAGATTTCCAATTAGTGTGCCCGAATCTAATTTCATGTTTCAATTAATCATTCTAAGGGTTTTCAATCGCAAACAAGGATTAAATATGCTAATCCATTTATCCCAAGTTCCTAAATGAAGCTAATTTGGGTTCTCCCCAAAAATATGGGTCAAAACAGCAATTTGAGGCCAAACAGGGTCAAACCCCATTAAATATGCTAATCCATTTATCCCAAGTTCCTAAATGAAGCTAATTTGGATTCTCCCCAAAAATATGGGTCAAAACAGCAATTTGAGGCCAAACAGGGTCAAACCCCGTGTTAACCGGTTGACCGGTAATAGAGCAGTGCAACACTACCGTGTTCTAGGCCAATGCAATCTGGTCGACCGCATAGGTCGACCGGTTTCCATGTGATTCGGTCGACCAAACAGGTCAACCGGTGGAATCAGTTGCGTGAGAGAAGCTCGCGGAAACCAGTCCAAAAACCTACAAATTCAGTCCCAAATCTAAATATTTTAAAGGAAAACCACTAGATCCGGGTTTTAGGTACTAAATCAAGTCCAAAGAACCCAAGATCTCCAATTTCTACCATGATTTACTTAAAAATCCATCAAAATCCGGTTTGAACCAAAAATAAGTTTTGAAATCCACAAATCCGAGATTTAAGAGAGGGTTTTCCAGAAATCTTACCTCGAATCCTTCTCTTTGCGTTGAAAACTTCTTTAAATCCTTTCTTGGTTCAAGATCCGTTTGATTTGGTACAAAAATGAGAGTGAGAGAGAAAGAGAGAGAGCACGGGAGTGAGAGTGAAGAAAGAGAGAGAGAGTGTGCACGGGAAAGGAAAGAGAAAAGGAAAGAAAGAAAAGAAAGAGAAAAAGAAAAGAAAAGAAAATGGACAAGTGTCAATATTTTAAAAGAGCAGTCTAGAAATGTGTCCATAAACACTTCCGAGTTAAAATAAATACTGAGAATATTTAAATACCTTAAACTTTTTTTTTAAATTCTTATTTCAGAAACATTTATTAATCATTAACCAATTAATTAATTTAGATTAGGCACACTAATAATTTCAATTACCTTAATTAATTCCATTTAATTCTTCAGGGTGTTACAAAGAATTATAATTAACATGTCCTAGTCTACCATGCCACAAATTGGAAGACTCAAGCAAATAAGTAGAAGAATCAACTTTATTCTTTTTGGTTGGTTTTGGCTTAACAACCATTACATTCATTTTCCACATACCATCCATTACATATCCCCTCCCTACATATATCCTATGTTTGGATAAAACTATTTTCTAGGACTCAAAAACCATTTTGAACCCATGTACACTCAACATAGTCCCAGAAATAAGATTCCAGCGAATGTCTGGTACAAACACACTATAACAATAAAGGTCATTTGGGACGACATTATTTGTGACGACATATGTCATCGTAAATATTTCATTATTTGTGACGACATGTCATCGCAATTAATCCCCGTGAAATAAATTAAGCATGTCGTCACTAATAAGTTCAATGTCGTCGCAAATAGTTTAGGCGCGCAACTTCCAATGGCGCAGATTTTTGCCGTCAAAAGAATCTATTTTCTGCGACGACTTGTCGTCGCAAATATCTTATTATTTAGACGACAAGTGTTGTCGCAAATAATATCACTCTATTTGCGACGATGTTTTCTCTTTGTCGTCGCAAATAAGCTATACACATTTGACCAAAAGCAAACGCGGGTGGAATGATTATTTGCGACGACATATTGTAGTCGCAAATAATTTCAGATGTATTTGTGATGACATTTTAAATTTATTTGCGACGATAATGTCGTCGCAAATAAGTCTGATCTATTATACCCTAACTTCTTCCTCTTCATTTTCTCCCGATTTCAGTCTTTCTCTCTCTCCTGCTAACTCTCTCCGCC